CGACGTTTGCCCTACAGTGTTGTGGGCGCCATCAATTCCCATACTAGGCGAACACAGTAAAACTCTCCGCATACCTTTGGGCACCGACAGTGTTGTGGGCACCGTCATTTACCATATATGGTGAATGCGGTAAAACCTTCCACATGCGTCTAACACAAACAGTAATTGTGGGCGTCTACCATCATCTTGTACCCGACGACGTGAGCAACAAGACTTAGTAGCATACATACTCTCTCTCTCTCTCTCGCTTGTAAGACCGTCCCCTTCATCTATAAAAGGGGATGCGCTCTCTCCCAATAAGAGGGATCGATCAACGACACTCCAACGACTCTCGAACAATTCGAACAATCAACGATCGATTCACCCTCTGCTGGCTTTAGACACTCTAAAGCTACATAGAGCGCACGCTCGAATACTTAGCGCACGTAGGAGCTCCCGTCACTCTTGGCCCTTCAGTCCGGAGTCCGACCGGACCTCTTGCACCCCCATGTTTCTCCCTCTCGTTTGTAACCCCACAGCAAACTTCGAGCACCTGGGCTCAGGAATAAAGTCACCGACCGATTCAAACTGAACGTAGGGCACGTTGCCTGAATCAGTATAAACCCTGTGTCATTGAGTGCTAGACCACATCCGATCACAACGTACGATAAAACTACAAATATTTACGTGTTGGTCACTTTCTGCACCGACACCTATGAAACATCTTAAGCACCTGAAACATAGGCTTGCAACATGCGTTTTCATCCTTCTTTCGTACGACGCGGTGCAAGCGAGGGATGGTTAGGCGGAGGGGACAGGCTGCCGGTGAGCTTTGGACGGGATGCGGGTTGTCGCCGCTGCGGGCGGGCGGGCGGGCGGAGGGGAAGGCGGGGACAGGCCAGCGATGGTGTATCGTGATGTCATTATTCCGAAAAGTTGAGCAGTGGCGGAACACATAAGCGTGCCAATTATAATAGCATTGATCAAAATAATCCTTTCTTGAGACGTAGAGTAAGTAATTACGCTGCTAACATAACCAAAACATTTGTGTGCCACAGAGAACCTCAGGTATAACCTATTATAATAGTAGTAGCAGTAGCGACGGGTTGGGTACGTGCCCCGTCTCCTTGGGAACACACAGCGCGACAACGGCCGTACGTGTGCACGGCGCGGTCGCCTTTCCGCGGGACGCCCGCTCCTCATCCGTCCGCGTTGGCTGTGGCCGCGCGTACGACGGACGACTCGTCCGAGCCCGGCGCGACCGACCCAGGCCAGCCGCCAGCCAGATCGAGGGCTCGTCAAGGCGCGTGGCCATGGTTATTGGTATGGGTCCCGATCCCGAGCCTTGCGAGTTGCCACGACGTCGCGTCATCGCCATGCGCTCGTCATCACCTGCCACCACGGTCCACGGGCAGCGCAGTTGTGCGGGTGGGCATCACCGGGTGACGGGTGTCCTTCCTCGCCTCGCTCGTACGTCGCCGGTCCCGCAGAATCCTGATGTGAAAAGGGAGCCGGGGCGATGGATCCGCCGTGCCTTTCCGGCATTTTGGAAACGGATCGAATCGATGATTTCGGTGGCGTCCGTAGTCCGTGCCGTGCATGGACTATTAAATGAAATGGTTTGAGAAATCGAACATTATATAGATGAAATGGTCTATTAAGAGTTTATGCTATGAATTTTGGTGTTATATGCTTTCATCATCTTGCTTATACTAATTACTAGTTTTTGAGGACTGAGGTAGCCATGGATCAACATATTTTACACAAATCAAACAAAAGAGACGGTGAAGAGGTGAAAAGATGATAACGGGACGTCGCCGTAGGTGAAGATCTTTTGCTCAGGAGTCTGGACATACATATGCCAAAGTCCTAGTGCTAAATATATATTAAAATTAAGATTAAGATGTGCAGTAGTTTTCTTTCTTCTTTTTGTAAGTGGTTCTTGATGGCTGTGGTCGTGTGGCCTCATTTTTTCTTGTATTCATTTTCTTCCCGTCCAGCTAAGTTCTGAGCTCTGCATATTTCTTGTAATTATGTTGTCACTTCAAAATAAAGTCCAGGCATCAAAATGGTTGCCGTATCTTTTCCTCTCTCTTTTTTTTTAAAAAAAAGAAGATGATAAACCAGTCCATTCTTAAGATAATAACATTTTGATGCCAATTAAGTACAATTAGATTCTTCATTACTTATATTTTTATAGTGTATCTATTTGATGTCATAAATTTTTATAGTTTTTTCTATAATTTTGATCAAACTTGAGATCTTTAATTCTACAAGATTCCTGGAATGACTTATAATTAGGAATGAAAGAAGTATGTGCTAAAAGTTAGTATTATTAAAGAAATTAACTTAGAACTACTAACTAACTTTAATCACTACGGGTGCCCTTAGAGTCCGAAGGATTCAAACGGGACATACAGCGATAGGCGATCACGTGCACGGAAGAAGGAGCCATATGGGACAGACGCACCGGTGACGGTGATGCAAACATGCCCGGTAAATCGATCGTTGTGTTCGCTTGGCTATTATAAGCCATATTTTTTCAGCCAACGAGTAATATTTTTCTCTCACAACAAATCAGCCAACAATATTTTTAGCCATGACTTATCAGCCAAGCCAATCGAGCAAATAACGCGGCCTCGGACTCGCGGTGATTTCTGCTTCGTTGGCTCGATGCAGCAGCAGGCCGCGATCGTTCATTAGTTCATTCGTTTGCCGTAGACGAAGCCGGCTCCTTCCTTCGTCAAGGCACGTGTGGGCGTGTGGCTCTCGCATACCCTAACAGCCACGGTAATTACGCAGGCCTTAATTTCGGTTCATCTTTTTTTTGTTGACTGTCCTCTCCGGCAGCGGCATACGTACCAGCCAGCTGCTATCGAGTATCGACGGATCGTTGTTGTTGACGACTAGGTGCAATGGAAACGCCTTTGGCTTTGCGCAGCGAGGAATCCCCCAACCATGTGAACCGTTCCTTTGTCTGGCCAAAGCCCAGGCCCCAGATGGCCAGAGCGGCAAGCTTGACTCGTGAGAAGGAACCCCGCACCGTCCCGGCGTCGCCTCGGCCTTTTTTTCTCCATTTTTTTCCTCTCACGATCATACCACAAAGGTACCTATTTTATTAGGCAACGTATCATATGCAAACCAATAAACCTGTACAAACTTAGAAACTATCAATCAGGACCACTAGATACTGATCCAATAGATGGGGCGAGAGATGGGATTTTTTTTTGTTAAGCCCCCTATCTGCCAGCCTTTTTTTTTGCGCTTAAGCCCCCTCACCCCATCCATTGGATCAACATCTAGTGGTCCTGATTGGTAGTTTCTAAGTTTACACGGGTTGATTGGTTTGCACATAACATGTTACCATTTTATTAAGCCAAATAAGAGTTGTTAAAGTACGGCTAGCGGAAACCCAAGGATACCGCACCCAACAAATGATCCCTAAAGCAAGACGGGTTGACGACGTGATTATCCCAACTCGACTGATGGTTTCTGCAGTTGATAAGTCGACTGATGCTATTTTGTTAGGCGAAAAAAACACCATACCATGACTGATAAGCCAGACTGATAAGTTCAAGCGAACAGGGCCATACCTCGTCCGACACCTTGTGTCACTTTCATTTTTCCTTCGGAAATGATAGGACGCGAGCGTCCGTCACGTCCGGAAGCCACGCGCCTGGGCCTGCGGATCGGTCAGCCCAATAAATCTTGTGTCTGTCCCCTTTCGTTGCTCCTGCTGCATGTCTCGCGCTGCTCAGGCTTCTCCTCCACCGCCCACACCCCCTTCCGTTGTTCCTGCTTCGCCGTCCATCTCGCTGCTCCTGCTCCGCACGCCCGTCTCGCTGCTCCTGCCGCTGCTCCTGCCGCCCTCCCGCTATGCCTGCTCCGCCACCCGCTTGACCCGACAACGCCGTCAGCCGTCAGGCCTTGGTGTGGACACCCTCCGGCCTCGCCTGCTGCTACGGCTGCGGCGCCCTGATGCAAACGGCGGAGGAGGCCGCACCAGAAAATGCATGTTGCAAGCTCATATTTCAAATGTTTCAATGTTTTAGAGGTATGTTGCAAGCGCTTCATATGGATGTTGCAAAAGTAGATTGGGATGTTCTAATGGTTGTACATGTATGTTGCAAGAGTCTGTCTTCAATGTTTTATCTGTTGTTCAGATGTACGTTATAAGTGTGTTTATTTGGATGTTGTATATGTTTTCACACATATGTTGCATGTGTTTTATTTAGATGTTGTATATGTTTGCAATAATTTTCAACTGTTTTTGTAAGTGTTTCAGATACATGTTTCTAGTGTTTCATTTGTCTTCTTTTATATATTGTAAGTGTTGTATCTAAATATTTTCGAACGTAGATCGGGTGTTGCACGTAGAATACGTGTGAAGCTGAAGGGGACGTGAGTGGTCGCCGTAGGCGCGGGCGACGTTTGGTGGCGCGGGCGAGCAACGACGGGCGGCATAGGCCCATGCATGGACACAAGAAAATGGACTGCAGTTGTGGACGTCCGTCCGGATCCTCTGGACGCTAGCATTACCGTTTTTCATAGCATTTGGTGTCGGAAAAAAAAGTTGTAACCGACAAGTGCCATGCGCTCTGCGGATGGTTGCTCTTGTTCACGTCGCTTTGATCAGGTGTCGACTAGCTGTGGATCCAAACTTGTACGACAATTCACCTTGTTCTATCGTCACCCATTGACTACTAACCCAGCATCGTACCCACAACGGCGCATTGAGAGAATGCATGTAGACATGTAGCGTGTGGCCTTGCCGGTTTCCCCATTCAAGCCCGATTCAGGTTTCCAACAATCGGACGGATGATAGATGGACTACCTGGCGAAACATTAATCAAATCTCCATGATCACAAACTACAGTCAATACAGGTGGCACGAGGAGCCAACGGACTGGACACGCGAAAAAAATGTTCTAATAAGAACAACCAAAACTCTGTGACACTTGTTCAGCTCATCTCTGTAACTAGAAAGAGTTACACTACACTGCGCACATACGGTCTTGCGACTACTGAGACTTTGCAAAAGCAACTCGACTACCGTTCCCATCCAAAAACTGATCTGTGTACCACCCTCTACTCCTAACTTCTGATACAAAAGCGGGGAAGACCCTCTTCGTCTTCTCATAGGCTTCGTTCAGAACCGCGTCACGTGAACCGATGCCTGACCTCTCCATCTCTGAAGCAAATGCGGCAACCAGCCACCCCCTTAACGCGTCCTCTCCGCTCGCGCTTTGCTCAAGAACCATGTATGTCTTGTTGCTTTTTTGGGTAAGCAAAAACTTCTCGTCTGGGAAACTTGCCCTCAGCTGCTCAACGAGCCTCGGACTCAAGACTCTGCGGAGTGGCTGTCCGATCTTCACACTTCCAGCTTCTTCTATAACTCGGTTAGGAAACAGAAGATCTTCTCTGTATCTTAGCTCAGCTGGGCTAGAAACCTTTCCACTCTGTGGTGCAGACAAGTATTACTACCGTGACTGGACTGAATAAAAAGGTTGCGTAAATTAATAGATCAAAGATACCAAACCTTAATAAAATCAGCCACAATCATTGCTGTTCTTTGTGGGTTGAGTGTGTTTACAGGAGTTGCTCTCATCTCTTGGACAACTCCGTATATATGCACTGCGGAAAGTAACGGGCCTGCAATTAACTGACGAAAATGGCAAGGTCATTAGAAGCACGTATCAGTAGAAGGTTGTTAATTGTAATAGCAGGCAAACTTGCACATCAACATAAGGTTCTTCAGCATTATAGCAAGTTCAGATTATATGCAAGAATTGAATGCAAAGTGGGACAAAAAAATGAAAATAATCCTAAAAGATGCATTCTCTGTAGTTATTCTATGCAGTAATAATCCAACAAGTAAATTAGTCAGGTTACTAGGTAAACACCAAAATTTGTGTTGTATCTGGTTTAGCTGGAAATTTACATCGAGTAGCACGAAAACATCAATAAAAGTCTGTTATATATAGTGGATGGCATATTTACAGTCAATATGAATAAGAACTAGAAATTACTAAATGCATGATTTATTCTTGCCCTAAAAAGACTATGCTTTCCTCATGCGCAGAAAAATCCAACAAAAACTATTTACTAAGATCTGCATCATCCCAGCTTGCATTCATGCTAACAGCAGGTATGTGGAATATAGTTCATCGTGCCACAAAATTCATTTAATGCTCTGGGTGAGCTGCATAGCATGTCTATAACATAAATGATGCACTACTTTAGAGGACCTAATAACTTGTTTCGGGAGTATAGTTGATTTTGAAACTTGGAAGACTGTAAAGCACTGGACAATGGTGGACAAAGTTCTCCTGGATAACATATACAGAAAGTTCATATAGCTCTACGGTTGCATGTTGTGTCATATGGTTGCATTTGCAATGCATGTCAGGTGCACATTTTCACTATGTATATTTGCCTGATGATAGAGTGTAATGGAACAGCTGTAACGATAGGATAGATGATGACATGTAGTTCTGTAAATAGTACCTTCCCTTGAGTTGTTGAACAAACAGTAGATGCCAATCCAATTCCAGCTCCTATTCCCATGACATTGAAAAGTGTTGAGATGGCTTCCCCTTTAGCAAATAAATCACTAAGGTTGCCTTCTTTGGCAAAAGAAGAGTAAATTGGAAGCCTTGTTGCTCTTGCTGCAACAACGGCCATTCCCTGCGATAAAAAGTAATGAATCATTTAACATTGCAGCTCAATTTTCAGGCAGAAAGACCAGGACAAATACATTGCCATTACAATGCTACCATTCTTATGGTTATTTGAGACTATGCTAGGGGAAACATTTCCTACTCGTTCGTAAATATTTAAACACAACTGTGCATGCAAAATATCAAACAGAAGATTATATATATCATTTGTTTAATCTAAAGAGTGAAATGCCAGTTAGAAAGGCAACCTTTGCGAAATTTCCCAAGCCTGCTACTTCAAGGAAAAGCTGTGGGCACAGAGGTGAAACGACTTCCAAGGCAGTACCAAGATCATAGAGAACATCAGCTGTCAAAACACAGCAGTTGGCATTAATAGGAAAAATGGCAGTACAAAATAAAATTGTGGACACAATGGCAAAATGACTTCCAAGGCAGTGGCAAAATCATAAAGAACATCAGCTGTCAAACCACAGAAATAGGCATGAATAACATAATTTAGGGAAACAGCAACAGAAAAGGGAAAATTTGTAAAAGTATCAATATGACGAGCAAAAGAATAGAAATATCAGAAAGGAGGTCATAGGATTCTATCATCATTTCTCACCAAGTATCCTCCAACTCTTTGGTTCAGAATCCATTCTTGCCCCCATGCTGCTACAAATGAGCTTTCCTGCGTGCTGCATTCCATCTTTTAGAATCTGAAATAGATAGAGAAAATCAGCCAATATGTTTCATAGCAGTACCTGCTTGAACTTTTAGCATCTCTGTCATCGTATGCTTACCCAACTTACAGCAGTTGCTTGTGCCGGGGTAGGTCGCAAACCTGCAGCAAAAAGCAAGGACTGAGCCACAGCCCACTTGGGCAGTAAGTTGACGAGCATAAATTTTTCCATAAACAAAGTGAACAGAAGTCAAAGATCTCAACATGCTTAGCAGTCTGTAATGAAGACCAACTGGAATTTATGGAATCAACGCACACAAGATATGAAAAAGATTTACTGACCTGTGTTGACAGCACATGTAGCATAGCACTAGAGAAATGCTGTAGTGCTCGGAATCTGGTATAAGTTAAGTAACCCTCATTCACACTGCATGATTAATAGAAGAGACTTAACACAATAGGATGTATCCCAGAAGAATTATCTAGAATAGCAACGAGCATAGGAACTTCATACCTGTATGGATAACCTGATGGAAAAAACTTGTTCAAGAAAGAATCAACAACTTTATCATGTAAAGGTCTAGAATCCTGAATAACTTTTACCTGCAGGAAAATAAGAGTTACGGACTTAAAGAAAAAAAAAACCCTTAAGATATTGATGAAGTAAGATTTTACTAATTTCGCTACAGAATCATGCTTGCACACTTAGCTTATATGATTTTCATTTGTCCAAGCAAACATATAGAGGTTGTTTTTCAGGTAACAACTTGTACATTTCTGAGGTCTGAGGTACAGCGAGAGAAATCAAGTCCTGTAGATATGTGTGCCATTGTGGCAAATCATTACAACCATCAAAATAAACAGCCTAGCAGCTCAGATACTACTGTGAGTAGTATTTAGCTATCTCCATGATCTATAGTGCAATGTTCAAACTGCAGATGGCATAACCATACCGAAGTTATATAACTTATAGAGGGGTGACGAAGGATACGGGTTAATCAACATCTTGAATCCCAGCTGTAATTCAAGCAGGCAAATCATTTGACTACCCAACAAAAAATGTTTGAACTGTTGAGATGGTGGTCTATCACAAGACTGATTGCAATCTGTAAAAAATTAAAGGCAAAACACCGACAAATCAAAAACTTTTAACAGAAAACAACTGTGGCAATCAGGAGAATGCTAGTGCCTAGGTGAATCGCACTGGTGACTGGTCCCATTTCCCCCTTTACTCTTCCATTTTTTTTAATAAAATAGAAGTGCTAGAGGGAACACCTACTCTGATACTTACTGAAAGAAAGTAACGCTTCTCAGCTGACACTACTGTGTTAAGTTATCCCATGGGGCATGGGCAGATTTCTGTTCCCCCACAGGAACGATAAAGTCTGCGATACACTAGAACGACATGTGGTGGGGGATTCCGGAAATTCCAAGTAAAAGAGAAAGCTTACAGAGATGCTACCGCCACCACTACCAGCGGCGTCGAAGCTGCAGAGCCGTGAGACGGACTCCGAAATCTCCACCCAGCACACCGGCTGCGGGGGCCGCTCCGTGGCGGCCGCCCGGTCGCCACCTCCACGTATCCTCTCCTGTGGGATATTTCGCGCAGAGAGGGGGAAGAAAAAGGGCGGTTTCATTCAGCACGAGAAAACTATGCACGGCGAACAAGGCGCTGGAGCAACTGGTAGGATCGAGGCGCCTCTGCTTACGAGTATGTTCATCTAGGTTAGCTCGGAGCGCGGCACAGGAGCTCGAGCCTCGAGGTCGCCGCCGCTTCAGCGCTGCCTTGACGTCACCCCTTCACGGCTGGTGCCTGGTGGCTGTTGTTCTACCTCTCTCTCCGCCCGGTCACGGTGAGACCGAGACGCCGCCGAGCTCGGCGGAAGGGATATGGGGGGTAGCAGCAGAATCACAAAGACGGCGGGGTGGGTTCCTCCGCCGACTCGCACGTCATCCGGCCCGGGGCCCGTCAGCCGCGACTGGATTGGGTCTGTGTGTTTCTTTCCTCCGAGGCGGCCCAGAGTTTAGTGAGTCAAGTTGGGCCGCAGGGTAGGAGGCCATGACGCGGCCGGGCAGCCCAGCCGTTTTCTTTCCTTTGCCTGAAAACAGCGAGAAAATTAGAATCCTACACCATTATAGAAAGTGGGGAGTGGGCTTCGCAGTTCTGTCATCCAACGAGGCTTCGCGGGTTTACCGTTTGGTGACTTTAGAACTCAAAAAAATTAAAAAATGAAATTCTCTTCCAGATTTGCCCCCGCCCTTTCCTTCTTCTTCCTCAGTGCACACGGACAGGGCCGTCCCTTGGCACGTGCAACGTGTGCGACGGTACAGGGCCTCCACTTTTCAGGGGCCTCCAAATATATATAGAGTATATATACGTATATATGTATTGCTTGGTAAATAAAACGTCTGTTGATAGCTTTGGCCTTTGGCCCATTAGCAAAGCGGCGTGTACAACAATTGACCAAAGCCCAATAAACAATGGCTTGTTGCCCGACCATTATTCGATTGGCAATGTTGCCGATCCCAATTCCCCAAGCCCGAATCGGATCGCAAATCTTAGGTCTCACGTACTACCTCTCGACGTCTCGTCTCGTCGTGTCGCCGCCATCATCGCCGACGCTGCGTCTGCACGCCGTGGCTGCGTTCATGAGTGATGGTGCGTGAGCCGTGACAAATCGATATTGATGCCAAAGAACTATATATGGAGTGAAGTTTCTACAAGACTTCATTCGAGAAGAAAGAATGGGGCCTGTTGAAATTTTGCGGTTTTAAAGGAGCATGGTTGTTTTCCTAATGCAACTATTGCATATAGAGTTTTGTTGACTATTCCTGTGATTTGTTGCATCGCCAGAGCGAAGCTTTTCTAAGTTAAAGCTATTGAAGACTTATTTGCGTTCTACAATGACACAAGAAAGACTTAATGATTTGGCTATAATAGCACTTGAAGGTGAACTGTTGGAGAAGATTGATTATGAGCATATTATTGAAGACTTCATTTCAAAGAACACTAAAAGAATGATGTTATTCAAGTAAAGATTATGTAATATAGGTATCATTCTTGAATCTTGATATATATTTTATTGCAACATACTGCATGCTTTATAATATCGTATATTTAGTTTTTTTTTCTAGACTAATAGGCCTCATTTCTTAGTATCGTACAGGGCCTCTAATTTTCCCGGGACGGCCCTGACACGGATGGACGGAACGGGGAAGAAAGAAACGGATCAAGCAGGCGCTCCTCCGCTTCGTCTTCTGCACACCGGAGCCGAGCACCACGGCGGCGGCGGCGGCGCCACCAGCGACTCCCGCCGACCACCGCGCTTCTGACCCGAGCGTCCGGTTGACGGTATATTGAAGGATTTGCTGCCGGATTTGGAGAGGTGGAGTTCGGCGGACGTTGGCATCGGGGTGGTGGGCATGAGCGCGCCGGCACCGGCGCCGCCGTTCACCTTGCTGTTGGCGCTGCTCTGCTCTGCCGAAGCAGCCGTGAGGGTAGTGTTGGCGCTCATGGCGGGCTCGCGGCGGACGACGAGGAGGCGACCAGCGACACAAGCGCCGCCGTGGAGGAGGCCGTGTTGGGCGAGCTGGCGTCGTCGCCTTCCAGCGTTGTTGCTAACTTGCTGAGATGAGCCTGAGCTGACTGTGAGATGAGCTACTTGTTGTAAGGAGCAAGAAAGAAAGGAAGGAAGGAAGATGTCCATGTGAAGCACAGCACCATGAGACCGGAAGCTTCGTAGCAGCTTGGAAAATCAAGAAAGGGAAGTTAAAGAGGAAAGAGAAAGGGAGAGATGCGTATGGAATATGGATGGATGGATGGCTATTTGACTACCGTGGTGGGCGATGGGAGTCGCTGGCGCCGCCGCCGCCGCGGCGCTCGTCTCCGGCGTGGAGAGGACGAAGCGGCTGAGCGCCCGCTCGATCCGTTTCTGCTTTCCCAGTTCCGTCCGTCCGTGTGCACTGAGAAGGGAGGAAAGGCTATTTTCTCGAAAACAACTGTGTCTGTCAACAACTCAAAATGAAACCTTGGTGTGAATAAATCGAACATTGCAAATTGGAGCACTCTAAACATAGGTATCAGAAAGAAAATTGAATTTCAAACTCAGTTTGACTAGTGAGAATGAAACACTATTCATTTTAAATTGTAAGTCGTCCTAACTTGTCTAGTTATATTGTACTCCCTCCATTACAAATTATAAGTCGTCTTAATTTTTTTGGTTGATCCATTTTACTATGTATCTAAACATATTATTATATTTAGATACATAGCAAAATTGATGTAAAAAAAAGTCAAAGCGACTTCTAATTTAGAACAGAGAAAATATACATCTTTATATATGTAAATAGACAACTTATATCTAGACATGTAATAAAAATTAGTGCATATCAAGAAAAGTTATAATAACCACAGGTCCCTAGACTCTAGCTGTGTCTTCGTCTAAAAAAGGTAATCCCTCCATTCCAAATTATAAGTCGTTTTGATTTTTTTTATACATCTATTTTACTATTTATCTAGATATAATATTATGTCTAGATATATATTAAAATCTACTATGAAAAAAAAAGTCAAAGTGACTTATCATTTAGAACGGAGGGAGTATATGGACAACAGCTGTGTCTTCGTCTCTGGACTCTGGCACATGAAGCAATCTTTGTTTGCTAGGCATGAGGCTGTCAATTTGGTGGAAACATGGCCGGAACTGAAGAATAATTATGATGGAGGGAAATCAAAGAACATTATATTTAAAGCTAACGATCACTATTTACTTCAAAAAATCTGTAAACCAAGTGAGGTCATAGCCATCTTTGATTTGCATTGGGCACCATTTGGTGCGATTTTTTCATACGGTTTCACCTAGATAGACGGAGAAATCACGTTTGCATGGCTCACCCCTCTTGTAAACAAAAGGGCTTCCCTAGTGTCGGGGACCTAATACCGGGGTGCCCAAGAAGGTGGAACTAATAACCATCGAACGTTAAAGACTCCCGAGCAGACAAGAGCACCGCTGCGCTTCTTGCCCGAGCGACGGGAGTTTGGTTCCGCCTCGCCCGACGCCCGTCGGCCAGCTCCGCCTCACCCGATGGCTGGAGGACGGCTCCGCCTCGCCCGAGGGCTGAGGGCTAGACTCCGCCTCGCCCGACCCCCAAGGGCTAGGCTCTGCCTCGCCCAACCCCTGAGGTATAGACTCTGCCTCGCCCGACCCCCGAGGGCTAGGCTCCGCCTCGCCCAACCCCCTGAGACACAGGGTAGGACAAGACGTTCGGGTCAACCACGGCATCGAAGGATCATGTCCTGCGCCCCTGCAGGAAAGTACCGTCAGGACATGACGGGACGGGCGCTTAGACCCTTCTAGGCGTGGCAGAGCCTGAATAGTGTTGCAGGCGCGTGCTCTTTGCCCTACAATGTTGTAGGCGCCGCCTTCAACCTCCGGGCGAAGAACCCGATACGAACATACGACAACCACTACGTTCCAAGGAGAGACTCCCGTCCTCTACAGTGGCAAAACGGGCAGTCACCACGCCATCCGCTCCCCATGGGGTCGGAGATGAACAACCCTGTCCGACACGTCGCCCGTGGGGGCGGGACGGGACGCACCCACTTGCTAAAAGAGGCCAGGGCATGGCCTACGAAGATCAACGAACACGCCACTTCTGACACTGTCTGCCATGTTATACAGGGCAGGCGCAGGGAAAAAGGAAGACCCGGATCCTTCGAAGGACCTTCTATACCCTTGGTATTTTCTCTTTCTCCCATCTGTAACCCCTGCCCCCCTTGGTCTATAAAAGGAAGGGCAGGGCTCCCCACTAAAGGGATCGACTTTTGATGGACAACTCACACACAAACGAACTCATAGAGAGCTCGGTTCGACACATCACGCACACAGCCAGGCCGCACCAGGCTCTTGGCATCCTTTCAACCCTTCCATCAGAGACCTGGGACCAGTCCCTCTCTCGGCCGTTTGTACCCCCTACTACGAACCTCTTTCGGTGCTAATAACACGAGTAGCAATAGACTGGACGTAGAGACGTTCAGCCCGAACCAATATAAACCTTGTGTCATTTAGCGCACCATCCGGGCCTAATGCGCATCAATTATAAATTTACTAGCCGGTGCTTGTTCGAAACACCGACAGTTGGCGCGCCAGGTAGGGGCCTTTGCGCGTTCCAAACCAGGTCACGGATGGCTAACTACAATGTTAGTTGGGTCCCAGGTGTACATGTGCGCTTCGGGAGCCTAGATTTCGTCATCACGGTGGAAGGAGAGTTGGTACGGGCGCACACCGCCATCCAATGTCTCCCCTCCATCGTCCTCGACCACAAGAGGCTTGGGCGCCAACTCGGCGTCTCCCTTGGACCCCAGCAGTCCAGGGAGAACCAGCGTCGCCTCGCCCTTTCCAACAACGACGACGTGGCACGACCTTCCAGAGAGGGGCACCTCTCTCCGGAGCGCCACGTGCAGAGCGCCCCGACAGCGTTTCCGTTCGGTCTCCGCAACGCCGTGGCGACCGCTTGCCACCTCGTGGCACTACGCATGGTTAAACCGCCCGCGGACAGCGAGTTCATGGGGGTAATTGAACACGACATGGAGTCCCTCCACAAACTCCTCTCCGAGGAGCCAGAATCATCCTCTAGCTCTGACTCCAGCAAGGGGAGCCATCGCCCTTCCCGGGAATGCTTCGTGGCAGAAACCTCCGAGGGGCACGTCGAAAGCATCTCCGAGGGGGAGGCTACCTCGATAGGCAATCCCGACGCCAGGACCGGAGGGGAGGTGGTGGCCCCATCTCACGTAAGGATGGAGCAGCTGAGAGCACGGAAGCTGGAGATTGATGACGTCGGACAATAGCTTGTTCAGGAGTACCGCAAGATCGATGAGGAAATCAAGCGTCGCGGAGACGGTGGGCACGCATGCGCCACCGCCTGTAACATACACCAGAGGATCCTCACTGATGATGGGACCCTCCCTCACTTCGCTCGGGCAAGTCAGAACATCGCTGCTGTGACGACCTTGCTTCACGACCTTCCAGAGGCCGTGACGTCAAAGGATCGCCGGGCCCGCCGAGAAATTCGCACGTTGCTCGAGCGTGCAGCGGCGCAGCAGGCGGAAAGCTCGTTGTCTCGGTGATGCGAGCTCGACACCAGCCAGCACACGCCCTCGGTGCGCCCCACCAAGGACGTGTCGGTTCACCAGACACCGCCAGGCGGTAGGCAGCACACCATTGTTCCGGTGCATCAATGTCTCGGCCACAACCGCGACGCACGCAGCACCATCGACGCCCGCAGATGCGCCTACAATGACTCAAGAGAAGGAGTCAAACGCGGCTACCACCCTCAGCGCGGCGGACGCTATGACAGCGGCGAGGACTGGAGCCTGAGCCCCGGCCTGCCGGGCCCTCAGGCCTTCGATCGGCACATCCTCAACGCTGCTTTCCCATCAAGGTACCGACCGCCTACCAACATCCCTAAATATTCTGGAGAAAAAAAACCCGAGCTTTGGCTCGAAGACTATCAGCTTGCTTGTCAAGCCGGTGGCGCGAATGATGACGATTTCATTATCCGCAATCTCCCACTATTCTTGGCCAATTCGGCGCGGGCATGGTTGGAGCACCTACTGTCCAACGCCATTCAGAGTTGGGCGGATCTGAGGAAAATCTTTGTGGGAAACTTCCAAGGCATGTACAAGCGCCCTGGGAACCCATGGGACCTCAAGAACTGCCGCCAGAAGGCCGATGAAACCCTCCGCGGGTACATCCGACGCTTCTTCCGGCAGTGCAACGAGCTCCCTAACATCGCCGATGCCGACGTAAAAGGAGCCTTCCTATCCGGGACCACCTGTGAGTCTTTGGTCCATAAACTAGGACACAAGGGCCCATGGACCACCAAGGAACTCCTAGACATCGCCACCAGCCATGCCTCAGGAGAGGAGGCGATCGGAGCAATCTTCGACCATTCCGACGGCAAGGCAAGGCGGGACGAGGGCGCCGGCGAAGGCGCCTCCAACCGTTCCACCAAAAGAAAGAACAAGAAGCAACGGCGTGACGACTCGCTCGTGGCCGCTACCGACCGCAAGGGTGGCCGAAAGCCCGCGGAGGGCACTTCGAACCACTTCGAAAAAATGCTCGAGGGACCGTGCCCAAACCATGCTTTCCCGGCCAAGCATCTATACAAGGATTGTGGCCTCATGCGCAAATACTTGCCCGGAGGCCTCAACAAAGGGGAGCAGGGGAAGGAACCTGCCCCCACCGCAGACGACACCGAGGAGAAGGACGACGCCTTCCCAACGCCGAACGGCGCCCTCATGATCTTCGGAGGATCAACGGCCTACGACTCCAAACGCCGCCAGAAGGTCACGCGCCGCGAGGTCTATACAGCCGGACTGGCCATGCCTGCCTTCATCTGGTGGTCAGAATCCGCCATAACCTTCGACCGGAATGACCATCCGGATGCCGTCCCACACCCGGGAAGGTACCCGCTGGTAGTCGACCCGATCGTTGGCCCGAAGCGACTCACGAAA